GGAAGGGAAGGCCCATCAGAAAGGTGTGGAAGTAGTAGACAATTCTCTTGATGGACTCTCAGTCATGGTAACATTTCATAGTACTCCAATCTTATGGCATGACTCTCCACTTCTGATATGTAAAACTTCATTTATATGTGTATCGCATTTTGTATTAGTTGGGCTCAAATAGCACAAGCCTCAGACATCAATCATTAATAAAATTCAAATATTAAACAGTAGAATCCGGCTATAACGACTTCGGTTATAGCGTCCATACGCTTATTACGACGAAAATTCTGATTCCAGACAAATTTATCTGAGCACACATAGACTTATAGCGTCTTCTGTGTATAACGACGGTCCCTTGAGTGTCGTTATAGCCGGATTCTACTGTATACATATACAGTAGGATCCAGCTATAACGCCACGCCTCAAAGGGCATATTATAAGTCAATCTATAGAAGCGCTAAGCAGTGTTGGACCTTAGCCGCTTAAAGCCTTTCGATAGGCATAGTTTGTACTATAATCTAAAATCATTTTGTTACACATTAAGAGCATGAATAATTAAATATATAATTTATTGTTCTATAGTACAATAGCTGCGAATAATCAAAGTGCTAAAGCACTGGCGGCTATTGTCTTCGGCTTGCTCTTCAATTTCTCTCCCTTTCTCTTTCTCTCTCTCTCTCTCTTTCTCTCTCTCTCTCTCTCTCTCTCTCTCTCTCTCTTTCTCTCTCTCTCTCTTTCTCTCTTTCTCTCTCTCTCTCTCTCTCTCTCTCTCAATTACTCTCATATGCCTTCACTACATTCTCCTATGAGCATTTTATAAAATTAAAATGAATATAGGAATTGATATCGAAGTGATATGATATAAAGTCCAATTTTAGTCAATTTAAACCAAAATTGTAGGTCTTAATTTTGAATGATCTATATAATTATTATTATTATTATTATAGTAATTTTCTATGAAATATTCCGTATTAATGTAGAGCATGGAAGATAGGGTATCCAGGGTAAGCTATCCAGACGCACAAGTAAATGATAGACTGATGGGACATAGCTATACGCTTGCGAGTTACTTACAGCTCGCCAGGTCAACAAATGATCAACTATAAAGTCTCCCCCTTCCAATATGAGAATATTTCCAAGTGATCTTGCTGAGGTTTAGTTTGATGCTTTATCATACAAAATAAGAAGAGTTTGACTATCACAGCTATTGATCAAGGTGATATTCAATAGACTCAATAAATTTGTAAGACTCGCTGCAGTAGGACTTGATGATGCTAAAATCTGAGTATTATCCTAGTACTAGTAGATCTTTAAGATGCAGATGCCTAAACTTTAAGACAGACTACTTGAATGAGGGAATCCTCCTCTCCTGAGGCAACTTTTGATCAGTTCTTGGATGTTGTCTACGATTTGTGGCACCTCTTGAGGTCTTGCTGCTACAAAGTACCCTTAATGAGTGGCCCTAATGAGTGTCCCTATCGAGTGCCCCTACAGAGTACCCCCAAGTATACGCTTAATGAATATCCCCAATGAGGGTATTGCAAGTTTCCTGGCTTGGCTTTTATTTTTAAACTTACAGACTCATCGCTCAATAGATCTTTACAATGAGAATTAATGATTAGAACAGCCAGAGAGCCGCGCATAAAGTTAATATGCTCTGTCCAACTCCTTAAACGAGTATTCATAGCAAAATCTAGCAAAAATCTTTTGAATAATAAATCACATGAATAAATAATCACATGCTTACACTCACATTGCATACCTAACACGTTTGTCGTTTCATACAAATACACATACATAAACATATGTATATGTATATAAATTTATAGACATTGATAATTAAATATATATACATATATAGACAGTTTGAGTTCATTCAATTGCATATAGACATACGCATCTGCATATATGTGTCTCTGTATGTGTGTGCCCATGCACGTATATACACGCACACACACATGTGTTCATGCTTATGTGTATAGAGTTGAGTTGGTTTCTGCATTAGAAATGCCTCATCCCTATTCACCCTCAACGGCCTCGTCCACTCACATCATGGCGGGCGAGTTGAACGAGACTGTGGTGAATGCAACAGGCGAAGTGGTGGTGGGCTTCACTTGGCCCGGCTTGCCGCCGAGCTTCCTGCGGGATGTCTGCGAGACCATTAGCAACGTGATAGTGATCCTCGTCACGGTGATCATCGCATACAAGTGCGCGAAGCTGCGGCTGACACGAACGGCGGCGCACGCCTTCTACTGCCTGGTGGGCATGGTCCTGTTTGTCACCCAGGCGTTCCTCTTGGCCTCTCCGGCGCTGCACGCGTCCTTTGGCCTGGTGGGCGTGCTGATTGGCTTCGTGGGCGTCGGCGCCCAGATCTTGCACATGCGGGCCAACGCACAGAAGCATTTCACCACCAATCACAGCATCTTCGGCCTGGCCACCTGCTTCCTGCTGCTGGCCACCCTCATCACGGGCCTCTATCCCTCATGCCAGCCCTTGGCGCGGATGTCCGAGATAAATGCGCTGTTCGCCCATCGCATCTGCGGGCTGCTCTCGTTCGTGCTGCTGATGACGTCACTCATATTCAGCTTCAACTCGGGCTTCATGCACTGCAACTGGGACCATCGCGCCATCGTGTGCTTCAAGAGCTGGGTACTGCTCGCAACCTTCTTGGCAGCCTCTACCCAGCTGGTGGCGGTCGTAGTTACACTACTCATCATATCGCCCTTCAGTATTTTCGCTTCGAAATCAAAATTTAGCTGAGTCGAAGCGAGGATTGACTCGATCTACGCAGATACCCCAAAATCGAGTGCTGCCAGTGGCATTTCTAGCGATCTCTACGCTGCGCTGTCTTTAAAAGAATAAACATATTCAATTATTCTATTAGTTTTGCTCTTCCTTTCATTTCTAGCTGACGGCATGAGATTAAACTGCGTGTCTAAGCTATATTCTCTTCGCTTGGTACCTACAGGGTATCTAGAACTTATATTAAAAATTAGTTTCAGGGCAGAGACATGTTTATTCCACTAGGTTGTGCGATGTTGTCATTTTTATGTTATTTCCAACTACAGGGTATCTACTAGTCGTTGCCAATACGCCAAAATTATGTATAGCATAAGAGACAGACATATCTAGGCAACATTTATAAATGCAGATGTATTCGGAGACTTCGTTGTCATCTACAGGGTATCTACAAGTCGTTGCTGATACAACTAAGGTATATTTTAGCTAAAGAACATGCATACTCCAATTGAATATAAATAAAATAAGAGCAGACTTACTCCTATGCATAGTTACAGCTATATTCTCGCTCATTGGAAACTACAGGGTAGCAGCAGTCATTCCTAATAGGATAAAAATTAAGTTTCAGACAAAAGACTTATAGAGTTTACGAATTACGCCAAGGCGCAGTGGTTTTATGGCAGACTCCAGGCATACCATGAACTGCATGTGATTTGATTGTTTATTACAGGGTATCCACTAGTCATTTTAGATAAGACAAAAGTATATTTTATTCAAGCGCAATCCATATGCCGTCAGATTGTGCACCGTACACTAATGATTCAGCTGCATTCTTAATTTCTCTCTGATTATAGGGTATCTACTAGTCGTTACTCATGAGGAAGGAATACTTTTCAGGCCAGAGGCATGCATGTTTCACAAAAGTGTGGCTGATCTAACGGCAAACATACTAGAAGGAATATATGCATCTACATATATTCTCTTCGATTGTTAATTACAGGGTATCTACTAGTCGTTACTTACACGATAAATATTTCAGGCGGAAGACATGTGCATTTCTTAAGATTTTAAAAAGTACTAAGCTGCACCAGCTGCATTCTCGATTTCACTCTGACTACAGGGTAACTACTAGTCGTTGCTCGTAGGAAAAGAGCATGTTTCAGACCAGAGGCAATATTGCCCCATATAGTTTTCCTGATCTAACAGCAAACTTATAAGGAATGCATATCCACATTTTCCTATTGATTTCTGATTACAGGGTATCTACAAGTCGTTGCTTACACGATAAATTATTGCAGGCTTAAGATATGTGCATCGTATTGGATTTTAAGAAGTACTAAGCAGATCCCACTGCTTTCTCAATTTCTTTTCGATTACAGGGTATCTACTAGTCGTTACGCATGGCTAAAATGCATGTTTCAGGCAGTACAAAACGGGTGTGCGTAATGTGTGTCATAGGCACAGCTGTAGTTAACGCAGAGTATCAACGGGCCGCGCATACCCGCACCCGCGTCGCCAGCTAATCTGGCTCTGGGCAAACCCAGATCGAAATGGGCCTAGCCTAGGTCGCACTTGAGTATATGATGGAGCGGCCGGGCCGAGCTCCGAGCAGTTGGCATGCGTCGCTGGCCGCCTCGCCACTGGCCACCGGCCACCGGTCACCGACCACCGACCACCGACCACTGAGTCCACTGTACAGTGAGCACACCGGGCAGCGCCTCGCTCGGCTTGGCCTGGCTTGGCTGGGGCCTGGGTTCACGTATCTCTGATTGTATTCGCATTAGCGTAACGAGGTTCAACTTCGGCAGTTCGTCGGCTTTTTGCTCTTTCTTTTCTTGTTGTTCTTCTACTTCTTCTTCTTCTCTTACTTCTTCGTGTGCTCGTCTGCCGTTGCGGTCAATTGAGTTTGGCTTTCTGCTCTTCAGGCGAGGCGGCTTTTGTTCCTGCTGCGGTCAGTGAACTTTGATCAGCATTTGGCCATCTTTTTTTTTTTTTTTACCAATTTCGGCACTTGATTTCGATATGGATGCCGCTGTGGGTTCAGCTGGTGCCATTCCATGGGCGTAATTATGTCAATGTCTAGAGCTATCTGTGATTCTCTTCAACTCGATATTTTTTATGGATTTTTTATTTTTCTTTCATCATTCAACTCGGCTCGATATGAGCGAATGCCTAGAATGATTCTTTAGATGGTTCTTGGCTTCGTTTCATTTGTTTTGTTGGTTTTTTTGGTTGTTTGGTTTTTTTTTTTTTTTTTTTTTTGTGTGGTTTTTCTAATTTCGGTTGTTTGTTTGTGTTCCAGTGGCGCGCTGCCCGAGCCGACAGAGTTTGCGGTAACTTTTTGCATAAAAACCTGGCGACGTCCAGAGATTCTGTACAGTTCTCTGGAACTTTGCTTACAATTAGGTAGGACAATACACGCAGCAGCGCCGCGCACAGATTACACAGTTAGCAGGAGACCCGAGCCCAACCATGTCGAAGCTAAGCGCCCTGTTCGTGCTCAGCTGCCTGCTGGCCCTGGCCATGGCCCTGCCGGGTAAGTACGATGCGCCGCGCCCCACCTCCCCTCCCGAAACAATCTAACAATTGAACCTACTCATCCGATTGCAGAGGCCCGCCTACAGCAGCGCCAGCAATTGCGCCAGCAGCAGCAGCAGAAGCTGCAGCATCCATATCTCTTCTTCAGCGTGCCGCGGGGACGCGCCAATGCCGGCGCCGTGGTGCAGGGCTTTGAGGTCGTTGAGGATCTCGACGACGTGGAGAACGACGATGATGACGACGATGCCGATGAGGGCAACAGCATGCCACTGCGACGCCTGCAGCACAGCTTCGCCGACGACGATGACGATGACGATGATCAGATGATCGATGATGATGACGACGATGATGATGAGCTGCCGGTGCAGCGCGGCTTCGCACGCAACGGCCAGTTGGTGCTGCTGAACGATGAGGACGACGAGCAGGACGATGAGGACGACGAGGACGCACAGCTGCCCGTGCTGCTGGCCAAGCCCAGTGCAGCCCGCAAGGCGGCCGGCGTCAGCGGCCAGCAGCTGCTGAAGAACGCCAAGCCCACGCAGATGATGGTGGCCAGGGACCAGGCCGGCGCCATCATGGTGCCCGACGGCATCATCGAGATCGAGGGCCAGAGCGTGGTCGACGAGAAGACCGGCAAGGCGGCGCTCCTCGTGCCGCGCGCCGCCCTCGACGCCATTCCCGATGGCGCCGTTGTCGCCCTGATGGAGCGCTCGAGCGCCAGCGACTCGAGCGTCGGCGAGGAGCGCGCCAATCGCGTCATTGTGCGCCGCCGCAAGATCGCCGGACGCCGCAATGTCCGGCGTCGTCGTCGCGGCGGCCGTCCGGTCCGCCGTCGCGCCGGTGGCCGTCGCCGTCGCGGCAACCGTCGCAACGTCCGCGTCATCCGGCCCGGCGGCAATCGGCGACGGGGCAACCAGCGTCGTCGTGTCGCCCTCCAGGGCTAAGCCCGAACCCAAACCCAAACGGCTAGCCCACAGCAACTCTCTAGTATTATAGTTAAGAGCCAAACCCCAGGACCCTCAGCACTTGCGACCCATATGAAAACGATAACGAAAACAATAAACATGTGATATGAAAACAAATGAGAACTGAGTTTTTTTTATTCCTGAATTTCCTCCCTTAGCTTATAAATATGTGAAAATAAATGAAAACGGTATTTCCTTTCCTGAAAAAAAAAAAAAAAAATTTATTTAATTTCTTAACTCCTTTCCTTTCTTTTCTTTCCTTAGCTCAACTCAAACATATATCCCTTCCGAAACTTCTTCTTAAGTTCCTTTTCCTTTTCTTCCCTATCCCAGTTCATATGTCCACAATGAGTTGAAATATCGTAATATGTTCTTAGGTCAGAAATCTTTCAACGCTTTGTTGCCTCCACTTTTATTTAGGTCTATTCATTAGCCTGAGTTCTTTGATTCTTGTTGCTCAGCTCATTTTAATAAATGCCTTCAGATCTGATTTGATTGCCTGCGGCTTTTTCTATCGTTTTCTTTAAGCCTTATTTATTATTATTTATTTGTTGTTGCTTTTTAGTTTCGCAGCAGCGCTTCAGGTTGATTTGACCCAAATCTTAGAGCAGCTGGCGGCCACGTTACGTATGCGCAATGATCGCGAATGCTAAGCGAGCTAAGCCTCTGTTGAATCATATTGAAGACTGTTTTTACAGTTATCATCAATTATTTATTTTTAGCTCATGTCTATAGTAATGTTATCTTATCACTTAGCTCTGGCATAGTAAGTTCCTTTTGTGTACGCCGTGCTCTTTAGGCAATGCGAACCTTTCTATTTGGTATGCCTAGAGATCATGTATATACAAAATGTGCTAACTGTAGCTTTAAACGGTTTGTCTCTAACTGTGTTTCCACATCAATTCGAATGCTTTTAGCTGAGATCGAAGCTTAAGCAGTCTCCGGTCAAATTATCGAGTTTATTGCTGATGATAGGTCTAGGGGTATTATGGGTAGGTAGGGGTATTCTAAGTAGATCGATTTCACTTCATACAACTATCTAAGCTTTGCTTCAGTTGACCTGCCCTATTTAAAAATATTCTGTGCAAACAGCTGAGCGGCCATAGAGCACTACTCTAAGAAATTTTGAACTAGAATGTCAACTTTACCTATCGGACTGAAGATCTATAAGTCTTTGGATTACCCCATATTGTTCTTGACTTTTATACAGAAGATCCCTTTTTACTTTGCCATCAGATGGAACGAAACGAATCACACCCTCTTAACAATGCATACCGAGGCCGGCTGAAAAACTATTCAAATTACTTGGTAATCAACCTATCGGGGAGTAAACTCTAAGCCTTACTTTTCATAGAGTAAACCTCTCAAGCTAAACGAAGTAAGCAGGAAAACTATAAAAATTACTTGGTAATCAAGCTCACCATAATCATCATCAATATCAGGGAGCGTACTGAAAGGATTGCCCTCTCTAAGCCCTGCCTTCCATGGAGTAGTTCCTCCCAGACCTTATCTATAGGCAGAACTGAAGGAACTTCAACTGAAAGGACTACATCTAAGCAGCCAGAAAAACCATCAAAATTACTTGGTAATCAAACTATCCAGGAGCAGTCTGAAAGGACCCTCCGCATCTTGCCTTCCATTAAGTTGACCCCTCTAGACTTGCCTATAGGCAGTACTAACGGAACTTGGACTGAAAGCGCTACGCCTAAACGGTCTGAAAAACTATCAAAATTACTTGGCAATCAAGCTATTGAGGAGTATAGCAAGAGGATTACACTCTCTAATCCTTGCCTTGCCTTGCCCAGCGTGGACTCCTCTAGACCTTTCCTTTAGTTTGCACTATAAGCAAATTACACACACATATAATTTGTGCTCATTATAGAAAGTATAAGCAAAACTGTCTTTAGATACAGCTAGGGAGTAAACAGTTGCTATTTACAGTGTCTGTAATCAAATTCGCTTATTGTAGCCCATTAAGGGAATATATATATGCCTATGTGCAGAGCCCGATAGAGAAGTTAGATAAGTTGGGCATTAGAATAACAAACAGGCTAAGCAGAAGGCTTTCGCTTTGTCTTAGCAAAAGTTTGTTGTCTGAATTTTGAACTAGTTTCGGGACATCTATAAATATGTAGTTCTTGGCCGAGCTGCCTCTTCACACAGGACTTTTTGGCTCTTGACAAGAATTATAGCTGAAATTAGAATAGGACTGAATGTCAGCGTGTTTGGCTTTCATTATCGATTGAGTTTCACGCCTTGTCTGTCCGCCATGCCATGCCTCATTCTGCTCTTCTAATCAATCCCATATCAATGCCAATTTATATTCATTATAAAACCCATTCAAAATCTGTCGACCAACTGCGAATTCGGCTGGTTAGCAAAAGCACCTGATTATGAGAACAAATTGATAATTGCAAAGCGAAATTGGCAGACGTGATTGAAAAAGCAGCGGAAACTGCATCGAATCCCCGTTGAAGAGCTGGAACAATACACGCAAGCAGAAACAACAACAACAAGTAAGAAAGCTCTAGTCGAGACTGCTCGACTACGAGATCCCCTGAACCCTTGGAGCAATAGATATTTCAATACTTTTTCGCGACTTTCAGCTTACACAAGAAACACGCACACACACACACGCACGCACGCACGCACGCACACACAGATAAACATACACACACACGCATATAGACACACATACACACACACACGCATACAGACACAAACGCATACACACACACACATACACACACACATACACAGACAAGCAACCACGCATAAACACGCATGGGCTGCAGTGTGCGCTTACTATGAGAACTTAATTGTTTAATAACTTTTTTTTATGGACGTACGATCTTCATGAAACTTTTAGATAATGATTATAACATGAATATGCATGTACTTGCCAAAGCACAAGTCTCTAGTATTTGAAATACGCTTTTTACAAAAGTGAGGGTGAGGGGGTGAATTTAGAGGTGGGGGGTAAATTTTAACAAAAACCGAAATTGTATAAATTGCATATAAGCATACATTAAAAATTTGGAGACTCTAGCAATAAAGGTGTAGAAGATATAATTTTATAACTGGGTTTCGATAAGGTTTTTTATCGATAAAAAAAGATCGGGATGAGTTATCGATTTTTAATGATAAACTTGATATGCGCGCTGTAATTACGGACATTTTAAAAAAATTTGAAGTCTCTAGCTCTTATATCTTCTGAAATCGACGCGTTCATACATACGGACAGACGGACAGACGGACAGACAGACGGACAGGGCCAAATCAACTCAGCTCGTCACCCTGATCAAGAATATATATACTTTGTGGGGTCTGCCACGCCTCCTTCTCCCTGTTACATACATTTCAACAAAACCATTATACCCTGATTTCCCATTGAAAATGGGTTCAGGGTATAAAAATGAAATGAAGTGAATTAGAATAAAAAGAATAAATTGGAAAACTATTTGGGCTCTCAGCCGGGGCCGCAAAGCATTTCATTCCGTGCACTGTTTGTCGGGTCGTCGCTTGGCACAGTTAAGAGCTCAAATACAAAAACCGATAATCAATCATATTAGACGCTAGTCGCTGCCACAGAGGGAGTTCACAGTTCGCAGTTGGCTTACGTTCTGAGCGTTGCTGTGCCGTAAATTAGCATTAGCATGATAGTTAATGCCGAAAACGGCAACAGGGCTACCATTGGCCTCTTCACTTTGACCTGCCCGAGGCGCTGATGAGATTAATCGCACCGTGTAGCAGGCCAATACCGTGGCGGTTCGACGGCACGCGGGTAGGACCCCGGGGCTGGGGGGACCTGGGGTAATATAGCAATTCATCAAACACTCACATCCAGAATCTTTAGCGGATGGCTATATAATCGCCGAGCACCCATGCTGGAGTCAGTCAGTGGCGAGTGTCAGCTCAGAGCCAACAAGCGCCCAGTCTCCCAGTCTCTCAGTTTCCCAGTCGCCAAGACTCTCAGTCCCCAGCCTGTTCTCAGCCATCCTGCAAGGAGCACTCGATTACAGCCACCTCCTCTTGACTAGCTCCAACCATGCACTACCTGCCACAGCTGTTTGTGGCGCTGGCGCTATGCGCTCTGCTATCGCCGCCAGAGGTGTTCGGTAAGTGCCAAGCATGGCTCATGTAGAGGTGGACGCACTCGCTAAGCTCTCGCCCTTTCTTTGCGGTATTTCGTATTTAGTATTTCGTATTTCTCTGTGCAGGTCAGCGTAACGGTGGCAACTACCGCTTGGGTCTGCGCTCGGGCAGCCGCGGCGATCAGGCTGTGCCCGAGGGCCGCTTCACCTCGTCCGTGTTGAACAAGCTGAGCTCCTTGAAGGGCAGCTCAACCACCACCACAGAGGCCTACACCACCATCACATTGCCATCACCAACATCGCCCACCACCTCGGACCTGGACCTAATCCAAACAACGCCGCCAACAACAACCTCGCCCCCACCGACAACGCCGACGCCGCCAACGCCAACGGCGGCATACCGTGCCTTCGGCGACGGCCCCGCCGAGGCGGCCGACGATGAGGAGGAGAGCAATGCACGCGCCTACAACGACGACCTCGACGATGACGAGGATGAGGACAGCAGCGTCGTCAACGACGACGATGAGGAGGGCGATGACGATGATGAGGACGGTGACTTCTATATGCTGGCCGCCGCAGCCAGTGCCGTGGATAAGCCAACAGGCGGTGCTGCTGTGGCCGTCGCCGATGGCCTGCCCGCCTATGTGCGCCGACCCTCGGAGCAGCAGTGGCGCCAGTACCAGCTGGAGCAGCGCAATCGCCGGCGCGTGAATCGCCTGCAGCGCGAGCACAATCAGCGCATTCGCGAGCTGGTCCGTCGCCAGCGTCTCTCGCAGCGCCGCCACAGCCAGCGCCTGCGCCGCATCCAGCAGCAGAATCGCCGTCGCGCCGCCAAGCGCCAACGTCGCAACAGGAACAAGACCAGGAGCCAGCGCCAGCGTCGCCGCCGCAACACTCTAGAGCAACGTCGCCGTCTACAGGCGCAGCGCCAGCGCCGTCGCCAGCGCATGTCCCGTCGCCGTCTGCAGATGCTGCTGCGCCGTCGTCGCGGTCGCGGTCGCAGCCTGAGACCCGTCGTTGTCTAAGCTCCACCATACGAATCCTCACGCACCTGACCGAATCCCTGTAACGAGCAAACGCAATGGCCGCCCAAGTGCGCCTCAATAAATTCATTTTTTTTTTCCTTCAACAATTACTCAAGTTATTCATGGAGCAAAGCTGAGGAGCTACCCACGATTCGTGATCAGCGAGGCTCTGCAGCTGATCGTAGTGGCCATCGATCCAGAGTCGCCACAGTCAGAGTGATTTCCTGCTGATTCAAAGCTGATTCCTAGCTGATCGTGAACTGATCATATCTAAGCTATATCTAATGATCTACGATACTCATTATCATACTCATTAGGCTCATGATCGTAGCTGATCGTGAACTGATCATGTCTAAGCTCTATATTCGCTTACATTTCTTAGCAACTGCTCATCTACGATTCCTTCATAATATTCATTAGGCTCATGATCGTAGCTGATCGTGAACTGATCATGTCTGAGCTCTATATATCCTTACATTTCTTAGCAACTGCTCATCTACGATTCCTTTTGAGCTTCCTTCTAACTTTATCATGCCCTTTAAGCTAATGATCGTAGCTGATCGTGGTCAGAGTAAACATTCCTAAGCACCATTATCCATTCCATTTTTAAACAACTATCACTCTACCACTCCCTTCATCATGGCAAAGAGAAGTATTTCCAAATTAATTTGTTCATTCCCTTCCACACTCTACTTTCCTTTAAAGCTAATGATCGTGGTTAGGTTAAAAATTCCCAAAGCTTATTCTGCTTTCCCTTCCACCGTCTGCACAATCTTTCCCTTTAAGTTTCCACATGCCCTAAACATTCTTTCAGCTAAACCCTTTCTACCTTAATTCATTTTCACATTGAATGATCTACTCATCCACCATTGATCTTCACTGATCCATGCTGCATCTGTAATCGTATTTTTTAATTGCAAATGGCGATCGCAGTGCGAATCAGAACAGTTCATTGACTCTGCTTACACTTTCGCCCTTTGGCGTTGACAGAGAGCAGAGGCCACAATATCTGTTGGGTCGCGAACAAAAGCATCTGGCAATATGAATATGCTAATGCGCACCGTCAATCTTGATTCGCAGATACAGCTATTCCTAAAGCTACTGCTATGCAAATGTTGGGGATCGTGAACCGAGGCTGAGGCAGAGGCTGCGGCTGAGGCTGAGGCTGAGGCTGAGGCAGAGGCTGCGGCTGGGGTTAGCAGGTTCTTGTGTCGGGTCAACATTTGCGTAATTTATGGGATTATGCTAAATGTTTTACAACTAGCGGTTGAGCAGGGTTTGGCGACAGTTGGCTTGGCCCTACGTAACCCTAATTTCTGTTGCTCTGCTCTGCTCTCAACTGATCTAATCTGATCGAGTTTTCATTCTTTTTTTTTTTTTTTTTTGTATATATTTATTATTATTTTTGTTTTGTTTTTGGCAATATAAGTTTTAGGCCTAGTCGACAGGGCCGAGTTGTAAAAGTGGGGGCATATAAATATGCCACAGATGGCCGTTGTAAGTCAGTCAGGCAGCGATACGCACCCAAGTGAGATTTACAAATAGAATTTCCAAATCGAATATATATATATCTATACACATATATATATATATATAGCCAAAGGACATGTATATGATGAGGGGTTTACTAGTCGTGGCCTGCCTGGCAGCCATTGCTCTGCAGTCTAGCGGTAAGTCGAGCCACCGTTAGGGCCTGGGCCAAGCTCCCACACACACTTACACTCCACTCTGTTACAGCCAAGCCGCAGCAGGAGAGGCGCGGCGAGCAATATCAGCTGTACCGGCGCCAGCGCAACGATTACGATCTGCCCGCCGAGGGTCGCCTCAATCCCAGCAAGCTGGCAGCTGTGCTGCAGGCGGCGCTCGGAAATGCCAACAGCGGAAGTAGCAATGGATCCGATCTGCCCACAAGCACTATTACCACCATTACGCACACTCCAACCACCTCTACGGGCTCATCGACGACCAGCACGACTCCGTCGGTGCCCACATCGCCAACGGCCCGCAACTACGACGATGACAGCGATGACGACGACTTCGAGGCCGACGACGGGCAGCAGAACTACCAGGCGGCATTCGATGACGATGGCGATGCCAACGAGGAGGACGATGCCAACGATGTGGCCGGATTTGAGGGGCACGCCGTGTACCAGCGCAACCAGGAGGATGCTCTGGCGCGCCAGCGCAAGCAGTTCAAGCGCAAGCAGCAGATGCAGATGCGTCGCCGCCAGCAGCAGGCGAAGCAGCGCCGTCGCCAGAAGCGCCGCCAGCAACAGCAGCGCCTGCGCAGGCGCCAGCAGCAGCAGCGCCGCAAGCGCAACAATCGTCGCAACATTCGCTTGATCCAGCGCTTCCTCCAGGCCAACAGGAACAGGAACAGCAGAGGCAACGGCAACAGGAACAGGCGTATCGTGCGCATCCGTACATAGAAACCCCAAGCTAACATCGCAACGATCTTTGTGAAAACCATTCTTGACATTACATAGCAAACAATCTATTCGAAGAGTTTCATTTCTTTTGCTGGGTCGAACTTGGAAGCTTGCGATCTCCAAGCTCCATAGATGAATAGATCCAGAGCAGCTTTGTAATGCGGACTGAGGCAAAAGGCTGTAGCAGCAGCCGTAGCTTAACAGAGCTTTTATAGTAACAGCTAGAAATTGGGAGCTTTTGAGACTGAAGGAGAAAGCCCTTTGAGTAGATCTCCAAGGTCATCCTGGAGCAGCTAATGAAGACTAAAGCAAAAACGAAAATCTACTCTTAGCCGTAGTTTAGCAGAGTTATAATACTAACAGCTAGAACTTGGAAGCTTGTGAGGCTAAAGTTGAGGTGACCTCCAGATGGATGGATCAGAGTCGATCCCATAGTAGTTTCCTTATGAGTTATTATACCAATTGGGAACTTGTGAGACTGAAGGAGAAACCCATCATCTCTTTCAATCGATGAATCAATTGTCCAATAGTGGCTTTATAATGAGGACTAAAGTAAAAATCTATGCCTAGCCATAGCTTACTAGAGTTATTATACCAACAAATAGAATATGGGAGCGATTGAGACTGATGGAGAAACCCTTTGAGATGATAACCAAAGTCAATGGATAAATCGTCCTATAGCAGAGAGTAGAGTTACCCGTAGATGCATCAGACTAACTATCAACAGATTAAAATTTCTGGCCCGGGCCAAAGAGCTCGTGAGACTGTAGCAGAAATCGTTTGAGTTGAATCGTCGTCCTAGAGTAGCTTAAGCTTAGCTAGAGCAATCAGACCTATTATCGACAGAGAATTTGCCGTCCCGACTCTGGATGGATCTGCTGAATGGGACACATTAAGAGGCTAGAGCTAGGAGAGCTCGAACATATAAGGGATATATGTCTATACAATAAATATATAAATATGTGACAATAGCAGTAAATATCAATCCAAATTACTTCGATTTTTGAGTTCAATGATCCTATGTGATCATGCTTGAGTGGGACTGGGGATATACTGAAAAACCAGAGCAACTAGTCAATGGTCGATCGGTGTAGCCACTCAGATATATATATGGAAAACTTTTTAGATTGATAAACTACTCCAATTACACTAGGCAGACCTACATATTAGACATCAACATACTGACGCCTGTACACGCCTATCAATTTCATAGTGCAGAAGCTGTCGAAATACGATTGATGTTTGATAATTCGCCATACATTAGCTTGTGCATAAATTTGGGGAAAAGTGATGATCTATTTGTTAACTAAGTATTGTGAGAGGCGAGAGTTCGCTTTGACGTCCGCTCCACAAATATTGATTGCGAACTTTGTCGTTGGGTCAATCTGGTTCATTCGCGAATAGAATGTGGCCGTTCGGGGCGAGCGGGTATTTTCGCAACAGAGAAAAATTTATGCGAATTTTTGCAAATATGCTAAAATGATAATGAGAACTGTTAGCAGAAGCGCTGATCCAGCTGCTGTTCTTCTTGTTGTTGGCAACTGGAGCTTGCCGTGGGGTATATAACCCTGTCAAGCGATTGACATTGGTACAGTCAAGCAGCAATATTGCCTTAGGCAAGCAGCAAGCAGAAGCGACAGTTCACCAGGATAAGCATCAGCACATCTACACGCACCCATCCCTACATCTTAGCTCGAAGCAATCATCATGAGATTTGTGGGACTTGCACTTCTGTTGCTGTCTGCAGCGGTTTTGGCCAGCGCAGCAGGTGAGTTACCAAAATGAGAGAAAGAGAGAGAGAGCTATGACTTGCTTAATTTCGATTCGCAGTTGGACGCCGCGAGGATGAGGACGAGGTATTGGGTCAGCGCTACCGGCTGTATAAGCGCAACGCCGACCGCAACGTTGAGGGTCGCTCACTCGCGCAGCTGTTGGCCTTAAAGGGTGGCAGCAGCGGTAGCAGTAGCGGCAACTGTGCCCCGGATACTACGACGACAACAGAGATATTTCCATCACCCTCCACAACTTCGGGCAGCTCGACCGAGTCAATCACACCATCAGTGCCAACTACGGCCCGCGGCTTTAATGACGATAATGATGAGGCTGCCGATGATCAGTTTGCGGAAAACGATGACGATGATGGTTTCGCCAACGACGAGGACGAGGACGAGGATGTGGCTAACGTCAACGGCCTTAGCCTGTTCCGTCGCGGCAGCAGCAGCAGCCGCCCCGGCCAAGTTCTCACCCTCCAGGAGTACGAGATACGCCGCCAGGCCGAGGAGAACAAGGAGCTGCGCAAACGCATCGAAGTCCTTCGCCGCCAGAACATGCAGAATATTCGCCGTGCTCAGCGCGCCCGCAGGCAGCAACGTCGCCGCAACAAGAACCAGCGTCGTCGCTCCGCCATCAGGAACCGTAATATTCGCCGCCGCCTCCAGAATCGCCACCGCAACAACCGTCGCCGCCTGAGGAGGAACCGTCGTCGCAATTAGATCCCTCACTCAATTGACCAGCCAACTATGCACGAACCAATTTTTTTGAAATAAATCGACAATAATTGCATATAATAGACAAGTTTAACTGCCAGACAGAGAGAGAGAGAGAGAGAGAGAGAGAGAGAGAGAGAGATGGAGTAGGCAATGCAAAGTGAAGAGAAGACAGCAAAGTCTTTACATATGTATAAGTGAGAGAGGTTAGGGTAGAGTGATCTCAAGATAGAAGGAGAGAGAGAGAGAGGAAAGGAAGAGATACGAAATCGGGGATGAGAAGAGTCAAGTGTGATCTCTATAAAAAACGACGAATCGAGCGATCACATAATCGAGTTAGAGTTGTAGAGAAAACACGGGGATAGAAGGTGAAGAGAAAATAAGAAAGCAATAAGTCTTTATATGAGAAAATCGGAGAGGAGGAGAATGAGCTGAGATCTCTATACACAAAGAAAGAGCAAAGAATCAAGCTATTACAGGAGAGTGTTGGAGTTAGGGTCAGGGAGTACGATATATATAGAGAGAGAGAGAAAGTGAGAGAGAGACATAGAGAGAAAGAGAGAGAACGGGAAAGAGAGAGACCGACAAAGAGAGAGAGAGAGAGTGAGAGATAGGGGGAGATAAGAAAAGAGATAGAGAGGGAAAAGGAAATGTCAAGTAAGAAAGCCTGAAAATTAGAGATGAGAAGAGCGCTCAACAAAGAAATGTAGGAAAAGAGAGAAACAAAGTGAGAGAGAGAGAGAGGACTAGGAATAGAGTTAGACAATGAGGAACAGATTGAGACATCGGATGAAAGCTAAGTAAGTATATAAACAAAAAAGACGGCGGCGATGATAATGAAAAGTGGAAGAGAAACAAAAATTAGAGCTCATGTTAGTTGACGTCAAGTTAAATCAGTCTTTCTTCTGGTTATGCTCAAGTCAAGTGCAGTTTTTCGTAAAGAAAATAAGAGAGAAATAGAGGTAGTCAGAGTAAGAGAGAGAGAGAGAGAGAGAGAGAGAGAGAAAGAGAGAGAGAGAGAACTGATCATATCTGTATTGAACAGCTTTCCAGCTTAACAATTCCATCTCTTGTCTCTAGTCTGTTTGTCAACCTGGGCTTGCGAGATAATTGTTATCTTATGTTGACTCGATACTAATGAGAATCCATAGGCACTCTCTCTTCCTTTAGCCTATGTAAACTCTCGTTCCTTCTGTGAGCAGCCCACTCAAATTTGAAACTCTTGCAAATATTTGAGGTCGGCCAGGACATTTCTTTGTGCCCAAGTGCCTTCAGTCTGTATGCGGCTCTCTCGTATTTACTATCCTCCATCGCGAATGGAGCACTCCGTGGTGCAGAGGCAATCAAACTGGCATAGGCATATGGAATTGTAGCTGCCCCGCGGCATCCGGCTCACTAGCGTGCACCCTCAACCCGTTTGCCTCTAATTAGAAACTCAGTTTCGATGCTCGCACAATTGAATTGGTTTTCACTTTTTTAAGCCGTGCCACTGAATCGAGCTGGCTCTACGCTGCCAGTGCGATGACAGCCGACAATAGAGCTGCCGCCGGGCCATGGCTGGCAAAGAGTAGGGGCTGACGGTGCGGTGCGGTGCGGTGCGGTGCGGTGTCCAAAGGGCAACGCAATTGTAATTGGGGAGGGCGAAACGCGCATAGAAAGCAGCCAAAGCTGGCAAAGCGACGGCTCAATGCTTGAACGCTCGACTTGGATCGGACCGGGCAGGCGGATAGATGGATGATAAGCAGAACGCGTCGCGTTGATGACGGTGAAGAACTATTTGGCCATTTGCCGCTGGCCATTGGCCATGGCCGTGGCATGCTCAAATAGCTGCAAGCGCTTTTCGACAGGGTCGAAAAATTGAATTCAATTCAATTGTGAATTGTGAACATTTCTGGATAGGCAGAGGCACAAGTACACGCACACACACACACACATAGATATGTGCGGTGCCCTGACCAAATTTACAGTTAGCAATGGATCTTTGGCAATCGGCATTTGCATAAGTATTGATGGCAATGCGGGTATAAAAGGCATTCAATTTCAGCGATAATGTATCAAACATTGATTACCAATCAGTGCGAGCACACGACTCCCCATTGGGCACTACCTCACACCGTAACTCAAGCCGTTCCTGTTCCCGTTCGAAAAGTTCTCAATCGTTGAGTAGTTTCGACAACGATGAAACATCCAGTCGCATCCTTGCTGCTATTGGCCAGCCTGCTCTGCCTGACGGCTCAGGCCGAGAAGCCGTCGCATGTGGTGAAGGCTCGCCGCGGCTCCTATTTCAATGAGCCAGCCCTGGCCCGCTCGAGCGACGCCGGCGTGGCGGCCCTGGCTCTCGACCAGAGCGCTGACAAGGATAAGGTAGGCGGTGCTGCTGCTGGCGCCGGTGTGGCTGGTGCAGCTGGGAGCTCGGCAACCAGCAGCAAAGATCCCTCCAGCGGGCGTCTCTTCCTGAGGAAGTTCCTCATGTTCAAGAACATGTTCAGCAGCAACCAGCAGCCGGTGATTCCCATCATTATAACTGGAGCCGGTACTGGCACCGCACCTACCAGCCCCATTACGACACTGACCACCACTGGCACATTACCCACGGCCACGGGCACCATCGACACCTCGCCCACATCGCCCACGACGCCCACGTCGCCCACCTCGCCCGTACCCCGACAGTACTACGACCACCAGGCCGACGAGCAGGCCGAGGCCGATGCCGGCGATGACGAGGCCCAGCCAGTGGCCATGGCCGCCAATGCGGAGCTGATCGACGAACAGGCCCTGCAGGCGGCCATCGCGGCGGGCGCCCAGGAGTACGAGGTGTTCACCGATGCCGATCAATCGGATGCCGGCGCCACCGAGAGCAAGGCCAGCCAGAGCAATCGCATCAATCTGCGCCGCAAGGGCGGCCGTCGCGGCCAGGGACAGATGATCAGCGTGCGCATTCCGCCGCGCTACCGTCGCTACTTCAAGAACGGCCAGAAGGTCATGATCAACACCAAGAACAGGCCCAACCGGCGTCGTGTGGTCAGGAAGCGCTACCAGAACAAGAACAAGCGCTTCAACAATCGTCGTCGCGGTGGCAAGAACAAGAACAAGAAGGGCAAGAACAAGAACAAGCGCCCACGTCTGCCACTTGCCTAAGCAGAGACACACACAGAGAGACACAGAGAGAGAGAGAGAGAGAGAGGGAGGGGGAGAGAGAGAGAGAGAGCGCGCTTAACAGCAATCCAGAGTCGAGCAACGCCAACGCTCCCCAACGATCAAAAACCACGAGAAACAACAATTTTTTTTTTTTCTAATTTATTGTAGCTAATGTTTAATTGAAGCCTCACTTCTTCTTTTGGCCAAAACAGAATAAATGAAATCTTTCGAATAGTACTTGACCCACATTTCCAATTCAATTTCAATACATCGAGGCCTCTTCAGCCAGCCTCCGGCAGTGGCGCCCTGGGGCGCTTGGCTATTTAAGCCTCATGTGGATGCTGCCATCGGACAATAGAGCTCAACATGCGCTGTACTTCACTCTGGTTCTTTGTGATCTTGCTGATCGTGCTGGCCGTCCGATCCACTGAGGCCCGCTGCGTCTGCGCCACACAGAAGCTGCTGCGGCTGCGCAGCACTGCGACTGCCAGCGGCAATGGGTTTGTCGACGACGATGAGCTTGAGCAGGAGCCGGAGCCACTGCAGCAGCTGGATCTCAGTCAGCTGAGCGAGTCGCAGCTGCAGCAGCTGATGCAGCAGCTGAACCTTGCGTCCGACTACGACGACGACGATCGCGGCATCGGCCGCCCCTGGAAGAGGGTGCAGCGCATCATTAAGCGCCAGCTGGTGCGCATACCCAAGCGCTACCTGAAGAAGCTGCTCAGGCAGTTCGGATTAGCGCGCGACGGAAGCTTCCGGAGCGGAGCACTCCTGGACCCTGAAGTTGGAGCAGTGCCAGAGCTATATTACTTAATACCCTTGGAATAAAGCGAAATTTGTATATAAAGATTCTCTAATAGTTAATAAAATATGGGCAATGGTTATAGCTATGATAAAGATAATAATTACGATTACGAATATGATCATGATTGAGAATGACAACGGCAATGACAATGACCAATGACCAGTGACCAATGACCAATGACCAATGACCAATGACCAATGACCAATGACCAATGGCCAATGACCAATGACCAATGACCAATGACCAATGACCAATGACCAATGACCAATGACCAATGACCAATGACCAATGAACAATGAACAATGACCAATGACCAATGACCAATGACCAATGACCAATGACCAATGACCAATGACCAATGACTTATGACAATGATAATGGTGTAGTAATGATAATGATATTACCAATAAAGCTCATAATGTAAATGAGAAAATTCTAATAATAATGATTGACAATAATTTCAACAAGCAATGAAATTTGTGTATATTTATATTTAGATTCGTATATTTATATTGAGATAATATAAACAAACTATATGCGCCATATACGTTCAATTTACATATTAAAAAAAAATTAATGAACTTGGAATTTCAGCTTGTATCTTTATTTCTACTCGTTTTCAGATTCCTTAATAGTTTTGGTGACCCCTCAAAGTATGTTTTGAATTAAAAGTTCAGGTGTTATCTGTAGATTATATACAAAAAAAAAAAAAAAAAAAACTTTATTATATACATACTTATTTATTTTATAATTTGAAAAGTCACGTCAAATCAGTAATATATTTATATCACTATACTTTTTCAATCGTTTTTGATTAAACAATTTGAATTGCTAATAGCTTAACCCATCATTTTCGACTAAATTAGCGAAATTCTCTTTTATTGGATAACAAGATTAAAATCTATAAGGCCATTCAATCTTCTGGTCTGTTCTACACCATCCAGGTGGAATCGCCGCCCCTGAACAAAATCCGTGTGCTGCAGGTAAAATGAGAGAGGACGATCACTGGGGCTGCATGGTGCATGAGATCCATGCGTGTATATAGAACCAGACCTCAAGGTTCCTAAATCTGGGGATAAAATCCAGAAGGTGGAGAAATAGTACCTAGAGAGATAAATAATAAGATAAGATAATAAGATAATAAGATGTATTGTTATGCTTAGTTTTAAGAACATATAATTATTTAATTTATGTTTGGATTAAGTTGCCTAAAAGGTAGCAGAACGCAAACATAAATAAGTTTTTTTATTTATTTTTTCTTTTTATTTGTTAAAGCCATACGAGGTTTTTCAATAACCCCTTTGTGAGCTTATTATCTGTTCATTTAGCCCATTCATAAATAAGTATTTCATTAAGTTCAGACTACTCGACTAGAAGATCCCCTGAACCCTGCAAAGAGCTGATATTTCAATCATTTTACGACTCTCTAATGCACACATGCATACAAAAACACATACACATATGCACGCACACGCATGCATTCACACAGACGGACCTGGCCAAATCAAGTTATTGTATTGCATATTCTATCTTATATACTTTATGGTGTCTGCCACGCCTCCTTCTGCTTGTAATATACATTTTCACAAGACATTATATCAAAAATTTCCCATTTTTAATATGAATAATAAATGCAAATAACAACAATAAACCAATATTAAAATTCTGTTTGTGTTCGTTAAGTTAGCTGTTGTTTCGTCAAGTGTGGAGCAGCCAAAACACGCTCCTCCCGTCATTGCATACTTTGCAGCTGCGCAGGTAATAAAAACAAATCGATCAGCGCTTGAGCTGCAATAAATAAAAAGTAAATATATAAATATATATTTTTTTTTTTCCAATTTGTATGATAATTATGTATATACATATCTATATTACATAATTGAAACATGCATAAAAATATCAGCAGCTGTTTGCTCAACAGTATATTCAACAGCTGATCGGCATGCATATATTTGACATTATTGCCCTTCACAGCTCTGGTCACACTGCAGCCGAGAGAGCTGCGCAGGTGGCGTGTTGTTTACTCGCGTTTGACTGTCGCTAAGTCGTTGGCTCTGATTAGGTTTATATTGCCCAAATCCCCACACTCACGCACACACACACACACACACACACACACACATTATGGCAAGCGGATTACTGGCTGGCAAGGTGGCATTCGTGACAGGTGCGTATGGCATAAAGCCGTCTTTGAGCGAACTTTGAACCCTGTTGCGCATTTCAGGCGCCGGCTCTGGCATCGGCCGAGCCACCTGTCGCATTCTGGCACGTGATGGGGCCAAGGTCATTGCGGCGGATCGCAATCTGCAGGCGGCGCAGGAGACGGCCCAGCAGCTGGGCGCGGAGCGTGCCGCCGCGCTCGAGGTGGACGTCTCGTCGGCGTCGAGCGTGCAGAGCGCCGTGGCCGCGGCGCTGGCCAAGTTCCAGCAGGCGCCCAGCATAGTGGTCAACTCGGCGGGCATAACGCGCGACGGGTACATGCTGAAGATGCCGGAGCACGACTACGACGATGTCTACAGCGTCAATTTGAAGGGCACGTTCCTGGTGACGCAACAGTTCGCCAAGGCGATGATCGAGCAGCGGCTAAGCGAGTGCAGCATCGTCAATCTGTCCAGCATTGTGGCCCGGCTGAACAACGTGGGCCAGGCCAACTATGCGGCCACCAAGGCGGGCGTCATCTCCTTCACGGAGGTGGCCTCCAAGGAGTTCGGCAAGTTTGGCATACGCGTCAATTGCATTCTGCCCGGCTACATAGACACGCCCATGGTGGCCGTGGTGCCCGAGAAGATCAAGCAGCAGGTGGTGCAGCGCTGTCCCCTGGGTCGCCTCGGGCAGCCCGAAGAGATCGCCGAGGTGATCGCCTTCCTCGCCTCCCAGAAGTCCGCCTACGTGAATGGAGCTGCCATCGAGGTGACCGGCGGCCTCAAGTGAATCAACAATTAGCGAACAGAAACAAAAACAAAAACAATAAGCGTACGGATTGATAATAGCTCCGATAACGTTGCCAGTTGCATTTATTTGTTGTAATTCTATTATTAAAGAACATTTCGTTCTCTTTTTTTTTCTTCGTTAAGTTTTGTTGACTGATCTGCTTGCTCGGCCGGCAGCGCCATCTAGCGTGCAGTTAGTGCAGCAGAATTGGGCGCGTATTTTCAAATTTAAATTTGAATGTTTATTGCGAATGTTGAATTGTGATTTATGTTTACGGAGTTTGTTAATTAATCAGGATGACTTGAAATAAATAAATAAATATAATAAATAACTAAATATATATATATATATTTATATGAATAAGTCTTGTTGATAGCGAATCAGCTGCCGGAATCTTTCATGAAGCCATATCCATTTGGCCGGCCATCGATTGTAATTGCTGCAGCCGCGATAGATGGGGCCAGAGGCGCCGAGGCGCATATGGAGCTGCGGCTGGCCGTGTCCCAGTGCGGTCGAAAAGGGCGACAGTCGCGCGGGTTTTTGTTTATGTATTTTTTTTTTTCCTGTTGGTCGGGGTTGATTGCTGGGGCGGGGGCGGGGCCGGTTGCGCAAAAGGGACTCAACTACCAAAGTGTACAATATTAATATATTTCACAATTCCCCAGCTGCTAATTAACTTGGCCACACCAACAACGGCAAACGACCAGGCATGAGAGTGTGTGAGTGCGTGCGTGTGTGCGAGTGCGTGTGTGTGTGGTGTGTGTGTGTGTGTGTGGTGTACATATGTTGGTGGGTTTGTTTGAGCACCACATTCGGGTGGGTTACGCCTGTGGTCGTGCGTGCAATTTAAATAATGAAGACATTTTATTAATTCAAGAAATTCAACTCGCCTGCCTCAAATATGAGCCACACACACACACACACACATGCACGCACACTCGAGCAATTATACAGAGCGGGTCGCTAGAACATTAAGCAACATCACAAAGGAGAGAGAGAGAGAGAGGGAGGGAGAGAGCAGGAGCAAAAGTTTCGGCTGTGCAAACGTCCCAGTGCGCTACCCATTCATCCAATGCGGTCATGTGTGTGTGTGTGTGTGTGTGTGTGTGTGTGTGTGTGTGTGTGTGTGTGTGTGTGTGTGTGTAACGTTTCGCCCATTTCATTTTTAGTGCTTAGTGAAAAACAAAACATTTCCTAATCACATGGACAAAGTCGCTCAAACACACACATGAGGGCGGACCGCGGGGGGAGGGAGTCTAGGGGT